ACATTTTATTGCACACAAAATCTCGTAAAACATTTGCATAAAACGCTATAAACTCCGAAATAAAACACAATTAATGACAAAAGGTATTGATTTGTCTGTTTGTCCATTAATTATGTGATTTTAATCTACAAATAGCGCCGAAATAAGTGACAAAAAGTGAATTAAAAATTAGGAAAATCAAAATTACGCCAAAAGTGAAACACATTTGCGTTTTGAACACAAGTTTTATTACAAACAGTCTCTCATTAATGGGTGTCAATGAAAACGAATCCACTTTTCCTTTACAAATAGCTTTTTATTGCATTTTGTCGCTTAAAACGCGTACAAAGCCTACGAAATAATATGAAAATGCATTCAAACGGCACTTAAATTGAGCGCAAAATGAGTCGACAATTGAGAGATCGGGCGCTGAATAGCGGTTTGAAAAGCCGTCGAAATATCAGTGTTTTTGAGATTTGTTTGAAATTTGAAAATAACGTCAAATTGAAGGCAAATCTGAGAAGAGTTTGAAGGCAGAGTCGGTGGGAGAGAGGGGGCGGACAGACATACCCGTGACGGGGGCCTCGATGTCGATCATAGTCTTCTCGGAGCGCAGAAGAGTGGCGCCTTCGTTGATGATGCGAAGCGCGACGTTCTCTTCAATACGGCCCTCGAGGATGAAGTGCTGCTTCAGGATCTCCGTCCGCGGCTTATTGGTCTTCGCCTCAAACACTTCGGCCATCGAGAGCTTGTGTGAGGGCGGGAATGGCACACCTGTTCCGGGGTAGACGAGAGGGTGAGAGGACGATGGGGAGGGGGTGTTGGTGGTGAGGATGTGCTTACTTTTGATGATGCGGTCAGTGGTGGACACCTTGTTATTGGAGGACTGGTTCGACATTTTGTGTTCAGACATTTTGCTTGAGAACCGACTCTCAGTTACCAAAGCATTGACTCAATGATTGAGTGCTAACGAAGAGAGCGACAGAGAGTGAGACGTCGGCTCAATAGCGCTCTGACGACACACACGACGACACCACTGCCACGGGCTGTGCGCACACGCCGTGCGTACGGCCCAAGAGTGCCGTCTGGTGTCCGCCAATCGCACCAAAACGTGTACACAAACCGACGATGCGTTGGCGCGAGTCGTGCCGAGAGAGGGCAGGAGAAGGGCTGTACCAGTGCTCAGCTACCAGTGCTCAGCTGTACAGCGAGTGTAGGAGTCAGTGACTGACAGACGGCAGAGCACTGGCACTCAAACACTGCGTGAAGTTCACTGCAGTTCACGACGAGAGTTCACGAATCCCTTCCTCTTTGTGTCGTTATGTGAGCGAAGAGTGCGCCGAAAGAGCTGTTCCCACAACGAGTGCCTCAATGTCTGTGCCGTCGTATGCTGTGGTGGACGACGAGTCGCCCGTCTGTCGCATCTGTCACTGCAATGACGACAACGAGTTCGTGAGCGTCGACGACGACGCGACGACTGGCCGGCCGTCCACTCCCACCACGACTCTCATCACTCCGTGCTTCTGCTCGGGATCGCTGCGCTTCGTCCACCACTACTGTCTGCAGCAATGGATCCGTTCCTCGAACCACAAGTACTGCGAGTTATGTAAATTCCACTTCAAATTGACCGTCAAATCCAAGCCTCTCCTCAAAGTGAGCGCCCATTCGCTGAGAGTCCTCTCGAGTCTCAACTCTTGTCTCTCTTCCTTAGTGGCAGTCTCTGGACATGACTTCCGGCGAGCGGCGGAAACTGGTCTGCAATCTCGTCTTTAACGTCATTTCCATGTTTTGCGTCTTTTGGTCCATTTATGTGCTCATCGAAAGGGCGACAGTGGAGGCGCGCTATGGACTGCTCGACTGGCCCTTCTGGACCAAGATGCTGGTCAGTCTCGTCTGTGACCTCTCACCCCCACTAACCCTCCCTCCCGCCACAGGTCGTGACGATCGGACTGTTGGGCGGAACCGTTTTCCTCTTCGTTCAGTTACGGCTTTACGTCTCGATTCTCTTGCGTTGGCGACAATTCAACCGCATTTTCCTCATCGAGAACGCGCCGCACACGCCGGCGCTCAACCAACCGACCATCGCCACCATCGCCGCGCACGTGACCACCAAATGAGCGCCAATTCTAATGCTAGTCAATGGACTGAAAGCCGTTTTTGTGATCTGAAAGAAAACCCATTCCTAAGACTTTTCTCTCATTTTTTCTATTTATTTATTTATGGTTTTAATCATATTTTACCGCAAATTAAATGTATTAAAGATTATATGAATTTTAATGCAATAATATTTGAGCGAAAAAACTGTGTTTTTATGCAATGAAAGAGATTTCGTGAAAGAATTCAAAACTTTTTTCGTCTCGAATTCAACACGAATTCCGAGAGAACCGCGAAATTGAAAACCGTTTGAATTGAACCGAAAAATGTCTTTTTGAACGCCTTTTGGACCACTTTTGCCACTAATATGTGGACTAATGGTCTTTGAAAACATTAATCGACTCTTTAATCGCTTTTTGCAGAAACTTGAGAGACATTAAGGTAAGTAATGAATAATTAATAACTTGTGACGAAATTCTTGCAATGATTTGGCGTTTTTATCAACAAATTAACAACAGTTTAATGATATATTAATTTACAATCATTTGTGACAAGAATTAGTGTTTTTGAACTGATTTTTGGCGTATCTTTGGTCTCAAACCGTGAGAAAGAAGTTGTTTTGCGCCAAACGGACGCTGATTACGAACCAAAGGGTTGTGGCGACGAGATTGCGGGCCAAAGGGCCCACGTGACTCGTCTCGTCAACATTGAAGGACCAGGGTAACATTGAGGACGTGAGTTCGTGGCCGATGTACAGCAGAATGGAGTTCATTCCCGGGTAGTGAAAGGGCTGTCCGTTCGGCCAAACGCGCGCCACGTCTACGAGATAGTAGAGGAGGGAAATGGCGACGCAGGCGGACGCGGAGGTCAGGCATATGAAGGAGAAGGACCACAAGTTCTTGTTGATGGGGATCCAGCCCGTGGCCGCGAACAGCGCCGCCAACGCGCCTGAAAAGAGCGGTTAGAGAGCGAGAGAGAGAGAGCGAGAGAGAGAGAGCGAGAGAGAGAGAGAGAGAGAGAGAAGACGTTTACCGAGAATTGCGGCCCAAGAGAGCCATCGGACGATCCGTTGTTTAGGACTCGGATATGCGATCAGGATTTTGCCCATTTGGAGGCCAAAGAACGTCAACAGAATGGAAGTGGTGGTGCCTATGGAGGGACAGTAGGGTTAGTGTGCGCGGGATGGGAAGGAAAGACAGACCGAGGACGCCTTCGGGGTCGTGGAGGAGACCGAACTGTCCGACGGGATCGTACAAACGGTTTCCCGTGAAGTAGGGGTAGAGGTGTTTCTCGCCCAACAGCCAGCGGTCGATATAAGCGGCCGCTCCGCCCGTGCAGTGGATGTGCGACATGTTGTTCGCCAGACCGCCCGGTCCTGCGCGCGAGGGAGGGGTTAGGTTAGCAGTAAGACAGAGGGCAAGGAATACCGATATATCCTTTCGGACACTTGTCGTCGAAATTCCAGCCGAAAGTGAGGACGAAATAGAGTAAAGCCGTGAAAGACATGACAATCCATTCCGGCCAATAGGGGATGACGTCGACCAACTGGTGGATGCGCACTAAGGGGGAGACAGAAAGGGGGTTAGAGGTGGCGG